CAGCCCCCCCAGCACCCTCCTCACCCTGTTCCTGGCATTGCTGCCCTTCTCCAGCTTCGCCCGGCGCAGCACCTCCTGGTAGGCACCCGCCAGCTCCTGGCGCAGGCCGAGCAGCATCGCGCTGGGGTTGCGAAGGGCGTCCATGGTGTGGGCCACCACCCCCTGCTCCACTGCTTGGTTGATGGCCAGCACGGCAGCGTGCACTGTGGGTGCAGGGGGGAGGTGAGGCAGGACCCGCAGGCACTGTCCCTTTTTTTTTACACATGCAACGGTGGGAACCATCCCCATTCCCAAGGAGCAAAGTGCACTTTCCAGTGCCCGGGAAGCCTCCATGTCTCCACTGCAAGCCCAGCTAATGCAAACCCTTGGGTTCTGTGCCAGCCCATGCATGGGTCTGAGGGAGAGCGATGAGGTGTCTCTTAGGTCTCAGGGCACCCCTGAGTTTGACACTGGGGGCACCCATCACCTGCTGCTTCATCCACAGAGAGCTCGTTGGCCAAAATGCCCCCGATCTTGCTGAAGGCAGGGAGCTGCAGGCCATATTTCTCCAGCTCCCGCTTCATGTTGTTGATCTCTTCCTCTGGAAGAGGGCACGGAGACACAGAATGAGAGAACAGTTTGGCTTGGGAAGGAGCTTAAAGCTCATCCAAACCAGAGGGGTGCAGAAGACCCCCACACTCAGGTAGCATCACCGAGGCAGCTCTGGGCTGAAGCCCAAGGTCCTCAGTCCCTGCATCCCTCCCAGAGCAGGACCCCAGAGCATCCCCGCAGTGATGCCGTACCTGTGAAGTCCACTTTCCCGTACAAGTCCTGGATCTGAGGAGCCAGCCCCAGCTTGAAGAGGTACAAGCTGCGAGGCAAAGCAGACACACACCATGAGCAGGCACCCCCTTCTCCCTCCCAGTGCTTCTGCAGCACCCAAAGGCTCTTTCCCCAACCGCTGGGTGATGCCACCAAAGGGCTTTTGAACACCAGCACAACCACTTTGGGGCCAGGGTCACCCACCTGAGTGCATGGATGCAATAGATCACCCGGGGCATGTTCTTCTTATCATAGATGTCGGTGGTCTCTGGGTGGAAGATCTGCCAGCGAGACAAGAGACAGGTCAGGAGGAGGTGGCACCGAGATGGTCCGTGGGGACGATGGTGTCCAGGGGTGGAGGGACAGAGATGAAGCCCCCCAGTGACACCGGCAATGGGGGACGTTACCGAGGGGAGCCCCACGTGGCTCATCGCATCCCGCCAGTAGTTGATGTTATCCGTGTGCCGGAAGTGGAGCCCGGCTGCCTGGAAGAGAGGAAACACAGGGTGAGGCTCAACCTCTCCTTCTCCCAGCCTTCGGTCCCCTCTCCCCCAAACCCATGAGGTTAAAGCCCAAGGCAAGGCCTGTGGCCCCCCAGGAATGAACCCTGCAGGTTTTGGGGTGTACCCTAAGGGATGTACCCACCAGCCTCACCTTGTACCGTGTCTGTTCACGGTCATAGATCTTCTTCAGAGGGACCACGGTGGGGGCAAAGCAATGGCCCAGCTTGGCCAGGACCACCCCATTGCGCAGGGTCTCTTCCAGCTCCATCGGAGGGGGCAGCTCCTCACTCAGACAGGCCTCCAGCCAGCTGCAGGGCAGAGATGGGGCACGTCATGGACCCCCCAGACCCATTCCAGGCAGGAAAAGCAGTTCCCAAAGGAGACACCCCCACTCCATCCCCATCATTCCCCCTCCATGGCAGGGAGAGGTTGGCACCCAGCCCTTTGCTGCAGGAGGGGGGGTCCTGTTTGGCTGCTCCCCCAAACCCCACCTTTGGAGGGCCAGGAAGCACCAGGAGCAGGCAGGACCCTGCAGGATCTCAGGGGTCCC